AGAATTCTTCTGATACTACTAACTTCTTGACCTCTGTGGAGGAATATTTCAGTGGAACATGTATTCTTTTTTTTTCTTTTCAAGTTGCCATTTACTTTTTGCAAATGAATTTAACTACTTTTAATTAGAGAATAATGGATGTTAAAAAAAAATTAAGCCATCTTTTATGGTTCTCAGTTGTGTATATTAATAGGAATTAAATGGATACAAATCAGGGTTTTGTTACAGACACCTCATGTATGAAAGTTTTTGATATTATTAAATTCTATGCTTCTTGATGGTGAAATTTATAAAGAGCTTGAATACATTTTTGGATCAGGACTGAAGATCTTAAAGTTGAGTATATTTGTCTTTTTCAGAGTGTCATGTACTAAGGTTTGAGTTTTTACTTGTAATCAATATGCCTATAAATACACCTAAAATTCTATTAGCTTTGTTACTAGGAGCTTATCACTGCCTTTTTGGCTTGAGTGAATTATCAATCACTGTACCAAGATTCTTTTCATCAGTCAATATATTGAGTAGGTTTCCATCTATATAAATTGTGTGATGCAATTTATAATACAAATGCAATACCATGCACATACGAAAGGTTATTTGCCAAATATTTGTCCAGCTTACCAATTGATCCAAATCATTCTGTTGTACCTTAAGATCCTCATTGCAGCTAGAAATATTGAAGAGTTTAATGTAATCAACAGATTTTACTAATGTACATATCTTGCCCCTATCAATATTATTAATGTAAATAGGAAAAAGCCCAAGGATTACCCCTCAGGTAATCCCCTAGTAACAAGCACTGATGCTACTATAGTGTGCAGTCTACGCAGATACTATCATCATCATCATTTTAATAATTCACTAAAACATAATTTCTTGCTAAATGATTTATATCTAGCCATGTTTTTGTTCAGCAAATAATAATAATTTTATAAGTTGTGTGTTCCAAAAGAGCACCTTAAATTTAGATTATAATTGTGCTAGTTTTGATTGTTGCAATTTATTTCCTTCTGATTATATATTTGCCACAAAAATGTTATGTAATGGTATTTTGTACTTTATTAGTTTAAAAGCATTATTTATAATAAATGGTGGCAATTGCAAATAAACGAAAGTTAAAACGATGATGATGACAGTATCTGTGTAAAACCGCAAGCTATAGTGTAAATATCATTGTAGACCGCATGCTATAGTAGCACCCAAGCACTGACCCCCGAGTTACTCCACTAATAACAAGCATCCAGTTTTATTGGACTCCATTAATAACAACCTTTTGCTTTCTCTTATCCAACCACTCAAGTCCAATTAACTAGTCTTTCCCCAACTCCTGTGGATGGGATTTTCCTAGATTGTTTTCTGTGTGGCAGGTTATCAAAAACTATATGAAAATCAAACTCTTTCTATTATTCATATAACATGTTACATCCTCAAAAAAAAAAAGTTAACTGATCACTAAGGCAAGACTTCCCCTTAGTGAAACCACATTGTTTTATGTTTTTTTTTATAATATCATATTTCACTGAATTACTTTGCAAAGCTTATTTTATTGTATCCTCTAGAATTTTCCAATTATAGAAACCAGACTAAGTACTTTTCAGGACAATTCTTATCTCACTATATGGTTAGTATTGGCACAGTTGTAAATTAACTTAATTAAAAGAGCATTCTTGTAACAAAATACAAATATAGACGTAATGTTAAATTTAAGAAAGGTTGGTGATTTTATAAATTGAAATTAATTTTCATTTCCAAAGGATAACAAGAAGCCATATTACTTAACAGCATCTACGAACCCCTTTTCTTATATCCAACCCTCATCTCTGAAGTACTCATCTAATTTTTACTTAAACTCATGTGATATTACAGTTCCTACCACACATGAAGATGAACTATTCTTTAGAGGGACCACTGTATTAAAACAATATTGGAGACTTAACTGGAGTCCTATCTGAATTATTCATATTTTAAACTTGTGTTCTGCAGTTGTATTGCCTAGTTGTTGTTTTTTTTATGAAAATATAAAGTGGATTTATGGATTACAAGCCTCTAACAATCTTAAAAAACCTAATCATCTCCCACTCTTACCAATTTCTTTTCTTCAGTGAAAACGTATGGTATTTTAGCCTTCAAGTCTGGAATCATTTTAGTAGCATTTTTCTGAAACCTCTCTAGCAACTCAACGTCTTTCTTAAATAAGATGATTAAAATTGATCATGATATTCCAAATGTGGTCTTAAACTACCTGTGTAATGGTGATCTTCTTTGAATTGTACTCAATTTCTATACAACCAAAAATCCTGTTCTTTTTAATACTTGCTAATAATTCCAGATGTCTGATAAAACTGCCATAATTATATAGTTATGTAATTAAAGAAACAAACTCTGGTGGTTTTTCTACCAATTTTGTTAGAAATGAGGTGATACACTTCCCAAGTTAAGTAAAAGTAGTTTCAGAAACTTAATTGACAGGAGTAAAATAAATGCAGTGATTTTAACATCCTTATAGGTATTTTGTAATTTCATTGTACAAAATGTGTAGCCTGAGTTGTTTCTACACCTTTAAGTACATGAAATTTTAAGAATCTTAAGTTTTAACATCACTGTATGTTATTTTAATGATATGTGAATTAACCATCATAGTCATTTTAATGCAGGTTAGTTTATGTGTGTTGTATAGAATTATTTTTCGTATTATGAAGTAATTTGTTCATTGTTATTTAGTTTAGAAGTCTTTAACCTTTGTATATTTGCGAGGGGTCTGGAAATTAATTTTTCTTTGTCTTATCTGTCATTACTTATGAACCAATTAAAAAACTTTTGACACATGCAATATAAGATTATATTCCTTGTTATGAA